CTGGGATCTGCATTTCAGGGAAGGCTGAGCCTGCGGAAGTGTCCCGCTTGCTCCCAAGTCTCCCCTCCGGCAGCTCCCTGGCGCTGATAATCGATCAGCAGGGAGAGTTCACCCAGCCTGTGCTGCAGTGTGTGGGTTAGAGCTGAACAAAGCTGTCTGATTGAGGCCTCCGTAATGGCAGAACACCTAAGCAACCTCCAACCTTTGCTAGCTGTAGATAATTTGGTTCCACTTGATCGTCATTATTGTTCGCTGTAACTCGTAATAAAAATCTTGCTTACTATAAATGTGTGCACTTGCCATATGTTTAGAAAAAGAAACGTTTCACTTTCAGGCCTGTTGCATTCTCAGAAGCCATTCTTCCCACTAGAAGAAGCTCAATTATGCAGTGATGCATCTCGAATATCACAGCAACGTGTCTGATGCCTGTTCCCGAAATGAATTTGTTCTAATGTCCCAGCCTTCTTCAGTCCAGTCTAGGAGTAGGCCTGAATATTACAGATCACAAGGTCGTCCTGTTTTCATGCCATCCCACCTCTTAATTCGACTGCTGGGCTAATTAATCGCCTAACTTAGCCGGCTGAATCCTTTTCCAGGTTATGGTATGAAGAGACTTGTACGTTCTGCTGGACGTAGGCCATTGAGGAGCAGAGCTGCACCACTTTGCTCCTAAACCGGTGCCCAACCCTCCGTTTCCCCCTGCTCCTCATTATCCTGTGTCTTCCAGTTATTCCTCTAACTGAGCTCTCAGTCACATCATTGAGCCTTTAATTGAAGCTTTTGTTTAGTCAGGGCTTTTTAATTCTAAGTAGCTGCGGCCTTCGTCTTGCACATTTTGCACTCTCATGGGCAGCATGAAGTTTGCAGCTTTTGAAAGGCCTTCTGGGCACTAAATCACAAGACATTGAATATTGTTAGAGCTAGAGGGGGGGTGGTCGATGTCTATCCAGTGTCAATACATGCAGTTCCCCCTTAGGGGCAAAGAAAATGAGGTATTTGAGGGTCTGATCAGGCGTTGATTAAAAAAACTCCTCTGGATTGCCTTGGTTAATTAAGTTCTTGGTACATCATTAAGAGTCATCATCAACAGTGCAGGAATAGGGGATAAAAAGACAAAAGGGAGAAGGCCAGAGAGGAAGCAGGGGAGGACAGACAGCAAGGCACAATGAGGGTTGTGGTTTGGATCAGCTGTAAAGACCAGATTCTAGTTAAGTATCTGAACCTTGTTAAGAGAGCTTGCCGTTCTGTTATTTTTAGGAAACTCCGATTCCCTGTATAGAGAATCCCTTGATTAAAAACGGTCTCTCCAGGTTAGCGGATGCATTTTTAGAATAGGTTTACTATTCTCCTTTGTAGCATCCAGATTAGTGAAGAGAGAGATTCAACAGTGGGTCGTATTCTGTTTAGTTTAGAAGGTGGGTTTCTCTCTCTTGTTGGCCTGTGTAGAGGTTGAGGAGAGGACAGTTTAATGAGTCACAGTAAGTTGTGCAGGCTGCTTTGAATGGTCAGTGAGTACAGATCATGCTAATTAGACAAATAATTGGTCCAGTTAACGTGCTCAGAGTTCAGTTTCAGTGAAAATCAGATGTGCCTCTGCCTCCAGACACTTTCAGACCCCCAAGCACAAATTACCAGCCGTCTCTGAAGGTTTTAATGAGCAGGATTGGGAATTCCTGATCTCAGCAAGTGGATGCAGGTGGAGTTCCTGAAGAACAGACATATGGATTCAGGCAGTGCTACTGTTGTAGTTTCTTCAAGACATTTTAGTGCAGTTTAGAACGAGTTCCAGAAATAGACCTTTTCATCAATTCACTGCTGCAGTGGCCACATCACTGTCACCTCTGCTGCCACATCCATAACCTACTTTTACCACTAATAATGGTCGTTCTTTTGATTTTAGAGAACCACCGCCCACTTTAAGCTCGTTGAAGTATTGTTTAGGACTTGTCCTGTGCACTCCTGGGTTATCATGCTGACATGTTTCCCGGGCTGTGGCTTGGCTCTCGCGTTTGGTCGCAGTCGGGGACGCGGCGAGTCGCTCCTTTCCTTTCTGGCGAACGGCGGGCTTTTTGCGGTCGAGTTTGAGTGCCGCGAGCTTCAAAGCTCTCGCAGCCAAGGGCTCCCTGAGCGAGGCGGTCAAGCGATGCTCCTTCAGACTAATCATCACGAGTGTGCCTGGAGGAGGGGTGGGCATGGTGTGCATCACAGTTTGCAGAGGCTCTGGAGTGGCGCTGGGAGGAGGGGGGGGTTAATTTTTCCTGCTACATCCTGAAACGCTGCTGCCTTAGAGCAGCCTGAAGCGTGTCCGACGGTTGTCAACGTGCCACCCGGTTTCTGCTCGTTCCGGGATTGAAACCGCAATGCCTGTTTCTGTAGTTAAGACTTGGTTCTTGCAACTATTTTTTTTTTTTTAAACTGTAGTGTGCAGCTCTGCACTAACGAAAGGGCTGAACGAACCTGTTTTTTTTAATGCGTGGGGTGGGGGGGGGACTGCAGAGCTGTTTCTGATTGGGAATGAAATGGGGGTGGGGGTGCTCGCTCATTGGCAACATGGAGTGTTTTTCTTTTTGTGCTTTTTATTTATAGCCTTTCAGTTTGTGGGCATTGGTTCGCCGCCCTACCTCCTGGCTCACAGACGTGATACGGCTCCTCTGTGAGTCCCCGGTGTGGCCAACAGGCGGTTCAGGGCCGGTAGGGATCAGGGACGTAGTTCCCAGGAGCGGTTATCCGAGAGATCTGAAATGGAGTTTATGGACTGCATAAAGAGAGCCGATCCCAATGAAGTCACGCACTGTAACTCCAAACATGTGCCAGTACACTGAGGAGAAAACACTGCATTTGTAAAGTGTCTCATAAATAGCTCAGGGTGTTGACCTGAAAGCCCCTGGAGGTTGTTGTGGTCACGTGGTGGGTGTGGGGGGTTTCGAAGAATGTCAGCTGTGGTGACGCTAGAGGCCGTGTGTTTCTCTGTGTGCAGGACCAAGCCCCGTGAAGATGCGCAGGTAATGTCCAGAGAGCACTGCGGGGGGCCATGTCTGACGAGGCGATCTCAGGGAGCGATCTGGATCCCGACCTCGATCCCGAGGAAGAGGATCTGGAAGAGGAAGAGGAGGAGATGGAGGAAGAGAACGACGGAGATGATGAGGAAGACATCAATGGTAAGTAGGGTCTGGACTGAACTCTCTAGATAGAAAACAAATGCTGGTTGTTTTTTTTTACGTTTTGCAGGCGATGGATATAGGTCACTCAGTTCATAGCGCTCTTGTCCAGTAGTTTCAGTTTTGATTTTGCAGACTACACAGTCCTTGTGCAAACTGCTTGAGTAAAGTAGATTTCTTTAGTTTTTTAGTTCTGTCTGTGAAGAATTAGTCAAAATAAGGTAAGAGACTTGAAATGCATAATTTATGGTTTTGGCTTATGTCCATGTTCTATATTGGCTTATTATTGCTGTAATAGCTGTGCAGGGTTACTTCTCATTTCTGTTTTTTGTTTTTGGACGTATCCCCCAGACTTTCTCCTGCAAGACCTTACTGGCTGTAGGAATGCTTTTAGGCTTTGTGTGAGTATTGCAGAAGTGTCTGAAGTATTTTACCGAATACAAAAGAAGTTACATGTAATTGGATGGATTGTGATTGTGCCAGTGGTTTAAGCCTTCAGGGCTTCAGAGAATTGAAAATAAAGTACATCACTAGCTTATTTTTAGGTTTCTAGAGATTTCTTCTTAGAAAACAAGACACTGGAAGCCTGAAGGCAGGAAAAGAAGGATACAAATTTGAGAAACTGGATCTAATGAGCTTTTTACCTGTATCTTTTCATTTCCGGGTGTCTCTGGTGGTTTGAGCATAGCATCAGTTAACATGCAGATTCCTGATCTGACCCCTGTAGTTTCCTCTGGTGTCGATATACCTGAAGGTTACTCTGGTGTTGACATACCGTTGGCTAAAAGATTTGACCCCTATATGTTTCTCTGGTGTTGATACAAATGAAGGTTCCCAAATTTGACCCCTGTATGTTTCTCTGGTGTTGATACACGTTAAGGTTTGCAAATTCAACTCTTCTGGGTTTTTACATTTGACATTTGTCTGCTCTTTTTGACAATGGGGGCTGGACACCTCTACCCCTGAACTGGTTACGAGCTTGGACAGGCATGGATTCCTACAGTGTGTCATTAACACAAATTTATTTTTTCCTAGTTTGAATTCTGAAGTCGGTAGGAATGTTCAGTTCACTGGTAACACTGACAACAACGTTTCATTCACGGAAAGTAACTTAATTATCCAGAGTGATTATATTATATAAAGTTTTTATATACATTAAACGGTGGCTCTGTGGCTCAGGATCTGCGCCTGTGGCTGGAAGGTTGCCAGTTCATATCCCGCGGCCGGCAGAGGAATCCTACTCCGTTGGGCCCCTGAGCAAGGCCCTTTACCCCAACTGCTCCAGGGGTGCTGTATAAATGGCTGACCCTGCACTCTGACCCCAAGCCTCTCTCCCTGTCGGTGTGTCTCACAGAGAGCAAGCTGGGGTATGTGAAAAGACAAATTCCTAATGCAAGAAATAGTATATGGCCAATAAAGTGATCTGATCTTATCTTAAACTAAATTCAACATGGTTTTCCAAGTACAGTAATTGATAGCCAAAATTTATGTTAATTTAGTTAATAAAGGATCCTGAGCCATGAGCCATTTCATCCCTTGCCTCTGTAGAGTACAGCTGAAGCAGTCATCTGAGTACCTGTTCATACAAATATATAAATACTTTTGCATCTTTCAAAAGGACAACCCAAATGCATTATTTATTTCCCTTTTATTTTTGGAAAGGCATCCTGATAATTGCAGGTTTGTTCTGTGTTTTGGAGAAGCTCGGTTAACGTGTCGGGTTTGCTTAGTGTTCCGTTTTTAATGTCTGAACAAAGTGAAGTGGGACTGTGTGTTTGTCAGGCTGAATTTCTTCTGTCTGCAGCTGCGGCGCTGCCGTTCGGCTCAGATCTCGGCTTTCCCAGTCGTCACAGATGACAGGCAGTTACAGAAGAAAACAAATCAAGCCATCCCTTCACAACACTTCCAAATAAAATGTGCACTAAGTATTTTCCTGGAGCCACACTTAGCAGTTGAAGACTCCCCAGACTTAGATTTTTTTTATTTGCCTGTAGAAGCAGAACAAACGTAAGCAAACCACACCTACGCCAAGTGATAGCTTTAAGACATCTTGCAACTACATATGCACACACGTTTATTTCTCTCTTCTGTTCTGTTCCTCGGTAACTTACAATGGCGAACATTTTTCCCCATGTGCACCACCTATAAAAGTGAATGATGCATCTTTCATCACCCATTTAAGTTTGGGTGCTGTATTATCGGATTAAAAATTTGAAAGTGTGACCTTACAGTACGTGTTTTGAATGCATACACTTATCAATAAAACAATTGATAATGTAATATTTCAAACAAGTTATTCCTTAGAGAAAATGAGGCAGAAATCAGTACCGTGCTCTGTTCTGCAGAATATAAGGAAAGCCGCAAGTAGGAGCAGAGCTGAAGACACGTTATATTACGAATAAAGAGTCTGTTTTGGATAAACAATGCAGAGATGCCGCAGGGCGGTTGATTTTGCAGTTTTTTTTTAATTGTGTACATCTCCAGTCCTTGCGTAGAGAGCCTGTCAGATATATTTGATGCCTCTCGAATGTGGGAGGTAAACCCATGTTTTAGAAACCACGAGAAGAAAAAAAAATCAATAATGAAGCAAAAAAAAAACAACCTTTAGGGTTTCTGGCAATAATTTCTTAAGCTGTTTTGAAATGCAGGGTTGATACCATTTGAGTCAGCCAGTTAGGAAACCCTCACAAACATTCCCAGATGAGCACTTTTTAACAGTTCTTTGTATCATAACTGATGTCCTCGGGATCGGCTACAGCTGTTAAAACCAGAAACGCATGAAAATGCTTGAGAAATTGTGCTTTCAGCAATAGGATGCATCATCAGGTTAATCGGAGGCAGCAGGAGCAGGTGTAGTGATGCAGTCCCTGAGGACAAGTTAAAGGGGCGTGCAAAGGATTGTGGGGAATGTAGTTCAAATGACAGTGGAAAGCTGTAATAACAGTCAGTCTGGTGCCTGGTGTCAAAAAGGACAGGAAGTGTCACTGAACTTGGAGGTGGCATCCTGCTGATCAGATTTCTGTTTGTGAGTGTTTTTAATTTGGTTAACCAAACCAGACTTTGTTCAGCTGGATCATCCTAAATCTATCATCATGGATACAAGTATACATATGCTCTGGTATAGATGTGAAAACAAATTGAAAACTGGTATTTCTTAATTCCTTAATATTCGTACTGTTTTTTTTTACTCATTTTACTTACTCTTGTGTGAGTATACATAAACGTTATGCATACACAGCGTGTGTATTACATTCGAATGAAGAGCATCAATTTCATACGTTTGTGCATTTTACGTATCTAATTCTTAAAAGACAAAGGCCATACAAGAAGAAGAAATCACGGGAGAGTCTGCTTTGCTTTGACATTTGTGATCCTGAAAGAATAGTGCCACCTACTGGTCCACCAACACCGCTTGCAGCAGCGACCTTGGTTTCCGGGAGATCTCCCATCCTGGTGCTGACCAGGCCCAGTCCCGCTCGGCTTCTGAAACCAGGTGGTGGTGGTGCTGCGTGCAGCCTGCTTCAGCTTCCCTGCGCTCGGACCTCAGTAAAGATGCTCTTGAAGTGCCACCAACTAAACCGGCAAGTCTCTGAGCTTCACTTTACCACAGTCATGTGAGAGGTTGTCTGTTCCCGGCGTTATCATTTGCTGTTACGGTCCAGGAGGGCGCAGAGCAGATGCTGCAGGCCGGTGCGCCGGTCCGGCCCGATCTGGATCCTGCGTGCCTGTGGTACGTCATCCGTCCTCCAGCTGTGTAAGAGCTTTTTCCAGGCTGGGGGAGCAGACATGTCGAATGCAGCCGGGGGCTGTAATTAATCCTCATCTGTAATTTTTTTTCTCCACGACGCGAGCCGCCGCCTCCGGGGAATAAAAGGAAAGAGAGAGAGCGAGGAAAGGAGAGCCCGCTTGGTTCGGAGATGTGGTGGGAGCAGGTTAATTAGCCTCCCCTCGTCGGCGGCCTGTCAGGGGCGTTTGGCCTTGGAGCGCAGACGACGCGCACGCCGCCTCTCCGCGGCGACACAAACACGTTATGTAATGGGGTTATGAAAGGCTGGGGTGGGGTGTGGGGTGGTGCCGCGCCCCCACAGCTCTTGCCTGCAGATCTCCCAGCTCGCCCTGCTTCAGCTCCGATGGCGTTTGGGGTGGGGAGCTGGCTCTGGGGTGCGTCAGGAAAGCAACGCCGTGGGGTGCCGCGGAAGGCTGGGCGTGGAGATTTTCTAGTGCCATTTTCTCGGTCTTCTAGACTTCGGAGAACTGAATTGGAGTGGACATTTGACCCGTGTTCTGAAAGACAGGGCAAAGGGAAAAGTGGAACTAAGTGGCATTTCGTTTTGCCAGCCGGGGCAAAGAGTGCAGGAAACTGACATCTACTCCACACGCACACGGTTACCTTTTTCCTGAGCGTCCGCCGTCCGCTGTCAGGATGGGTTACTGTCAGAATTGCTCAGACGGTGCGCAGCGCTTCACTCTGTACCGGGGTGAACTGCAGGGCAAGAGTCAGTCGTGCATCGGCAGCCTCATTCTTCCAGCGGCCCGAGGTTGCCCGGCGGAGGGGTCTGGCAGCTGTTGGAGACCCACGCTTGGATGAGCTGGGGTGTTGGAGCCAGGGCAGCGCTGGGGAGGAAGGAGGGATGCGCGGGAATAAATCCGTAGGGGGAAAAGGCGACGGCTCGTTTCCTGCCTCTGAATTTACTGTAACTGGTCCAGTTTTAGAACTCCAGTCTGTGGGCTGAGACTCAGTGGGGAAACCACACAAGACAGTACAACAGTTTACAAAGAGATGGGTTTTTCTGCTGATGTGCCTCTTCTCCTCTGCTGTTTAACTTGTACAGTGAGGCTGCTTTAGTCAGGCTAGACATCCTTTGCCCTTGTTTGAGGAGGCCCAGAGAAATCCTTCTGCGACTCCATTGTCGGTCTGTCTTGCTTGTGTCCGGTGGTGCTGTAGCCCTGGTCCCGCAGTGTCACGTCACCTGAAGGACTCCCAGTACGGTCTCTCCCAG